TAGACTCACTTGCCAGAAATGAAGGATTTGTTGTTATCTAAGTAGTATTAACTGACATGATTTGTGAAGACATCGCCTTGGTAAATAACCACCCATGGACAGAAATATAAGATTTGAACGATGCGATCAATTTGGGAGCAAAGCGTACTTGGAATCATGATCCTTGTCATATCAGAAAGGAAGGTTCATGGACGGCCACTACTTCATTCCTTTTCCCTCTCTCAGTGATTCTTGAAGTTGGCTCAATCACTGCTTCACCAATGTGCACGGGTTCCTCGCGGGTTCTGCTCTACCTGACATTTTATTTGCCAGAGGTGTCTTTGTGGAGAAAAAATATCATATCCCCACAGAGTTAGGAAAATATTATTCTGGCAAGTGGCAAATTATAGGCAGTTATTGCATAATTTCTGAGCGAAGTGAGCAGTTATTTGCCCAGAGGGAACATGAAGTAGCCATGAAGGAAAATGACCCCATGTATCTTGAAAAAATTAAAAGTAAGACTCTGGGACAATCAGGGTGCCTTAGTAACATGAATCTGTCTCTTTGGTCTCTTAATTCCAAGTAGAATAGCTGAAAAAGAAACAGCATTTACAAAAGGAGGTGTTAAACTCTAAATTGTACTGGTATTGCCAAAGGCTCACAAATCACACGGTGAAACATCTAAAAGTGTTGTTGACTCAAGAAAGTTGGAATTATTTTCAAAGACAGGGTCCTTAGAAACAGTGGCATTAATGGAGAGAGGAAGGCAGTAACAGGATCATCTATTTATAGAGATTTCAGGCTATCAGTCTATATATACAGTGGATATTTTTTCTTCCTTTGTGGTAATAAAAAAAACCCTCAAAACAGGCAATTTTCCAGACAAGTAAATGAATAGGTGTAATGATTTGTGACATTTTAAAAATAAAAATGAACCTATGAATGTCCAATTTCCTAATAGTGTGATCTTAGTACATACACATTCTGTCAGCCAAAAGACTAAACAAAAATAACATCAGAATTACACAAATAAAAATGCTTACGTCCTGCTCACACTCACCATGCATGCCTGGGCTCTGTGTGTAGAAAATCATACTTGTGAGTGTCAAGTGCATTCTAACTCACAATAACACAGCAGAAATGGCCCATAGGGTATCCGAGGCTGCATTCTTCTATGGCAACAGGTTACCATCATGTCTTTCTTCCAAGAAACAGCTAGTGAGTTTGAGCCAGTGACCTTTCAACTGAGCATTTAAACCATATCAGAGTGCCTTGTGGAGAATACACAGGCATGCTTTTTGAAAGTAGAACAGATCGCTGATGTCAGAAGCAGAATTTCTTTGAAAAGATACTTTCCACACATAATGTACCTTATCGTTTTCTATCTCTCCACTTACTCTTCGTTTTCATTTTATTGATTTTTTAAAAACAAATTTATCTGCTTTCATTTAACCATGCATCAGGTTCTGTACATTTCCTACTCAGCTTCTTATAGATTCCTAAGCTCTATTCAACTTTATCTTATTTTTATAGATGAAATAACTGAAGTCCCAACACGGCCGCTGAAACACATCCTCAGGTAGATGGAGAGGATAATAGAACATGGTCAGTGAAAATCATGAGTCACATTAGAAATGAGAATACGTTTCTAGCCCTTTCGCATCCTTCACAGTGCACATGACTTAGTCCTGTTCACGGATTTGGAATATTTGGAAATAGCACAGAATATCTGCATACTGAAAGAGATGCTTTGGAACGGGGAGGGAGAGCGCATTTCCCTACACATTGTTCTCATGTCATCAGTCTCTTAAGAAGAGGACTCAACCCCACACCAGGCTGCACATTCCTTCATCAGTGCATTGAGAAACGAGAGCCTTGGGAATGCACTTCCTCCTTGGGATAAGAGGTGGTTGAGGCCAGTTTGTGGGAAGGTTTTCTTTAAATATGTGCTTTCTTGGTACTGATGCCTCATAGCAACGTAAATGGACGCCAACCCGAGAGAAAACACACGAAAAGCATGGTTAATCTTCCTGTAGCCCTCACAATTCATGATCGGGTACCCAGCCCCCCAAATAGACAGACATTGTGACTGTGCTTAAGCATGCCTGTCTGGACTCACATGCAGAGAAAAAAAAATGTTGGTGCCAGTCAATTCCCACATTGAGACCCTATCTGCTGTGTTCAGAATAAACCTCCATCGGGCTCTCGGTGGTTACTTTCAGAAGTAAGTCATAGATGTTTCTTTCATGGTTTCTCTGGTTTAATTTAAAATGCCCATCTTTTGGTTTTTCACCAAGGATTATCTGTGCCACTCGGGGACCCCACTACATGCACCAAGGGTGCCAGTGTTAGGTTTCTTCACATTACCTTATGTACTAATTTCAAATAGATTTCGCTCTGCTTTCTGAACACACTTTGTACTTTCACACTCCCAGTCTTTCCTTAAGCCCTTTCTGCCCTGCCCACTTTCCTGTTTCTCAAATTTCCCTCCTTTCTTTACAGCTTCCTAATGTGTTCCTTAATCCCAGATTCAGAAACGATCCTCTCCTCGTATGCTACAGTGGCAGTGTGTTCTCACTGGTCCTAGGGCATTTTTACTACCTAGTTTGCGTGACCAAATTGCATGTCTATGGCCGACCTTCTCAATAAGACTATTAGGAATTGAGGACAGGATCAATAGTTGCATCACCTTTGAAAATGTCTTCATACCAATGTGTTCTACATTTATCCTGTACACATATGTCTACAAACTAGTTTGGGCATAGACCTATGATACAAGACTTGAATCAGAATTTTCATTAAAGATGAATGGACCTTTGTTACCTTCTCTCCTCTCGGCCCCATCCCTGGAAGATTTAACAGCTAAATTAACTCACAGGACACCAGTTAAATTCTCCTCTGGCTGAGACACAAGTAATTCAACTTGTAATAATGAAGAGGAAAATCTAAGTGTCAATATTTGCCTGATTACCAGGGAGGGATGTGTGTGTGTGTGTGTGTGTGTGTGTGTGTGTGTGATTTTCTCCTGAGAGAAAGAAAGAATTGGTGAAAATAAATCAGTCATTTGTCTTTCATTTCTATAAACATGCTGTTGCTCCCACTTCAATGCAAAGAGCTGGTCACGAGTTTTAATTTAGGCTACCTAGCCTAGATTTGACCTCTAAGATATGAACTCTATCATCCATGATCATCTAAGGCTTCATGACCCAGTTTCAGTAAACCCACTACTCAGAACCAGTATCAGCTGTAAGAGCAGGGCCCCACAGGAAGTGTTTATGTAAATTAATACTTATTTCAAGCTGTGCAGCATTGAGATCACCATTGGTTTAAGTACAACAATAACAAGTGTTCAAAGAGGTCTTCTTCCCTCTCTGCTCTTTCCATACACGCTGTCCCAGAGTTCCGAGTACATGAATATTCTGCACAAACCTGTTATTTATGGGGCGCAGAAGAGTCAAACAATTTCTCCAGTATTCATGTAGGCTTGTGTCTCCTCTTACCTTTGCCCTCCCCAAAGACAAAGGAACCCCCATTGCAAAGCCAAAGCCCTAGGAAGCTGGGCCGGATTCTGAGATCTACAATATTTATATAGCCTCCTAATTCCATCTTCACTGATAGAGAAAAGGGCATCGAAGGCCACGTTTCTCTCTGAGTCCAGGGCTGAGGCATCCACGGTTGGTACTAGTTGTTCTAACCCTGGCCGACCTGGACCTGTAAGTGACTGTGCCTCCTGTCCACCCTGGCCTCCCAACTGACAAACTTTCCCTTACCCATCCTAGAGCAATTGTGCCCTCCTAGCCTTCAGGTGAGAGTTGGTTTTGGGTGTTTGCCATAGTTTAGCTTCAATTTACATGTTAGGGGGGTGGGTAGGGGTAGGGGCGAGGAATAATGAAAGGAAGGGGCCACACATATCTTTGCACATTTCAGGATGTCCCACTTCGCGCCCCTATTGGGAAGCTGCGCAGAATCCACACTTGGGATTGAGAGCAGGGCAACCTCACACTTCTCTAAGGTCCTTCTGAGGAGGCGTTCCCTCCAAGGCAGTAGATTTGGTTGCTGATTAGGCGTAGGGGCTCAGTCAAGGGGCTCCTCTTCCGCATCTCGCCCTCCCACAAAGCCCCCCAATCCTTTAAGGTATCCGCTCTGCACAGAGTGGCTGGCGACTGAGAAGAAACGATGAGCCAGCTTTCCGCCTAGTCTCTGGGGTCCCGGGCGACCAACAGTGAAGATACTCAGGGACAATCGCTTCCCTGGGTCGCGTGGGAGGGGGCAACGCGGCTCGTGCCAACCTGCTGCAGGGTTCGGGGAGACAGAGGCTTCCGCGCACACCCTCCTGGAGAG